GAAAAACGCCCACATGGGGGCGATATCGCCCCCATGTGGGCGTTTTTCCAGTGTTTCCAGTGTTTTTCCAGAGTTTTTCGTTCGTATATACCAGTGTTTCTCAACGGGGGCGATATCGCCCCCCGTTGAGAAACACTGGTATATACGAACGAAAGACAAGTGATTTTTTTCAAAATTAAAATTTGCATCCCGGCATTGTGACCATATTCTCTTTCTATAAGTTGATATTTAGATTCAGATCTGCTCTCCACTCTTTAAATAATAATAATAATAGTAGCAAACATTTTTTAAAAATTATACATTGTTAATCTTAATGTTTTCAGTGAACATACCTTGTGATGAGTTGCTAACAATATATAAGCTACAGCAATTAAAAAGAATTGAGCCAACACGTACAAGCAACACCAAAATTCCAACTTCGGATTGTATTTATCGACGGGATACGATACCTGCAGAATTAAAGGGCATTAAATTTTATCAAATAAAATATTTTATATAATTAAATTTACATTTGGTATGTCTTCCGGATCTCCGTGCCACGGTTTTCCCGGCTTCCATCCGGGTCCTTTTATAACAGTGAATAATTTGTTTTTAGCTCCTTTGGCTTCCCAGAAGGCATTCCATAAATACAGGAGATGGCCAAACTACGTGGAAAAATGTATTGTTTAATAAGTTTCTAATATATTTTCTTGATATTATTTAATAACTTACCTGAACTTTCACAGGATTGAAAGTGTTTATGGGGTGTGTTAGCCCGTATACCACTTTGTCTGACTCCGGTTCGAAAGTGCCAAACATGCGATCCCAAATAATGAGAACTCCAGCGTAATTCTTATCGATGCAATATCGATTTCGGCCTAAATTAGCAATAATTTTAACGATTGTTTCAAATTTAACTCAATATAAAGTTTAAGCTTACCGTGATGTACCCTGTGGTGACTTGGAGTATTTATTATATATTCGAGAGGACCGAGTGTATTTATGAACTGTAATATAAAGAAATTAACTGTAGCTGATATAAAAATAAGAAATCTGGACGAAAAATTGGAAGACAAATATTAATTTTGGAGTTTATAATTTGTCCTTTTCACAGCACGGCAGATTGGATCCTTTGTAGGTTCCTTCCTGCCATAATAAGGAGTGGATTGGTGTTATAAGACAATTCAACACGTATGGTCGAGCGGTTAAGATTGCAGCTACTGCTCTGGAGTTTTTCGGGATGGTGTATCCAGATGTGTCAGACCCTATTCTTCACCACCTGGCCAAATCCATAATGGCTTAAGTGTCCACATACCCACGAACCTATTTTTAGACTCGTAAAAATTCTCCAATTAGTCTGGAAACGGGGACCCAATTCTTGCATTCTGTGAAAACGGGTAAGATTAGCTATAATGTAATCTTAATCTTAAATGTTTTCGAATAGTCGAGAACCGTTATGTGTGAGTAGTGGAGATGGCTTTTGGAGATCTGTGACCCACACGCTTCAGTTGATTTTTCATAAGTAAAAGTGTACGAATAACAGAAAAAAGTAGAAAGTGAATAGTGAAGTGTGAAAAGTAAAAATAAAAAAAAAATGCCAAAGCATAAGAAAGAATTTTTGCTGTCTCGAATCATATCTCAAAGGCAAAAGATGGCGCGGAGAAATGAAACCGCGGAAGAAAGAGAAGTACATCTAACATTGCTACGAGAAAATTATCAACGAAACAGAAATACTCGGATAGAAGAGCAACTTGAAAATTATACGGAAACACATCGAATGAGAAAGATTATGTAGAGGAAGAGAAACAGTCTTTTATGTAAAAAAAACTATATTACAGATAAATGTACGAACAAATAAAAACCCAGAGAAGCGGGTACTTGCAGCTAGTTGTTAATTGTTATTCGAGTTATAATTTTAAAATCATAGTGTAAAACTTTGAAGTTTTAAGAATTATTCTTTTGCTATAAATTGATGTATATTTATTTGTATAAATATGTAAAATATGGCGAAAAAATATCGGAATAATAATTCAAAATGACAAATAACAAGATATTACCTCATTGTGAATCCAAAATTGATAGAGCAAGTTAAATTGAACGTGTACGGCGTATATTGGCGGAGGAATGAAGAGAGCAATGGGAATATATGATATCTGGAAGAGTAAATCGATATAAATAAAAAATTGTCATATTTATTTAAATAGCCTTGTTATATTTGGATTTAATTACAGTCGAGTCTCGATATACGTACACCTACCTCTAAAAATGGTAATAAATCGAGTGAGCCGCTAAAATGTAGCAGTTTCAAAGTAGGATCGTGTATAGAAATGAGGTCTGGGGTCTCGCTAAAGGAAAAAAAAGGGCCCACACTACCTTTCCGGCCCTATCAGAGGACTAGGTCGTTCTCAATTCAGAGATGAGGATAATGAAGAAATCGGGTCGTATTCTGGTCACTTCTCCGGTCTCTTTCAAGCCGGTCGCTGATTGGCTAATCCAAATGATTAGCCAATCAGCGACCGGCTTGTGAGAGACGAGAGACCAGAGACAGTGACCAGAATATAGCCCCAGATCGTGCGCTGATATTTTATTGTTCCTGTTAGTTCTCGTTCACTCCTATGTATTGTCACAATATCTCGGCACCAAAATAATTCCGCACGAATAATCAGTCCGTATGATCTCAGCCTTAGAGAATCTTCCAGCATCTATGGGTTATTTAATACCAGTAGCCCGGGATGCCCCCTAGTGGGAGTTCTTTACAAATTTCCATGAGGCACGGTTCCTTTGACTTTTTTGTTCCTGTCAATATGCTCTACAGCTCTGTTAAAGTCCCAATGGTAAGATTTACCCTCCGAATGAAGAGGTGGTGACCCCCCGGAAACTGTAGCCCCTGTGCGAACAATAAAGTCAAAGGAACCATATCCCTACTCGCGACCCTTCGCGAGATATAAACCCCTGAAATAATAAATTCCTATTACAAATATACTGAATTATTTATATCGTCATATTGACCAAATAATAATTTATTGGTCAAATGAATAATAATAATTTATATTGTTAATTTAAATAATAAAATTGTTAATTTGAATGTTTGAAATATGACACACGATAGGGGCGCCTCTAGTGTCCGTTATCACACCGTTACCAGGACAGACGGATACCCGTTGAATGGATTATATATATATATAGATTTATGTCGAAGATCCGTTCGTAAGTACGAGGAGGGTGCTATATCGAGGTTTGAGTGTATACCATGATTCTATAGCAAGGAGATCCAGTAGCGTAGCGTAGTGGGGGCAGCACTTTTTAGGGGGCGGCAAAATTTCACAATAAATAATAATAATATCTTGTAAGAATTTGAACCATTTTATTAGAACCAGCATGCACTGCAAATTATTCTTCGCATTGCAAAATGACATACGCATGCGACAGGAACTTCTGTTCGAACAAACTTCACCCGCCGTCCGGGTCGACGATTTTAAAAAAGTGGCAACACTAGCACGGAATTTTTCATTACTTATTCTATGACGAAACTAAATTTTAGTCTTTTAAATTGAGATACCTAAATAAGGGGGGCGAAATTTTCCTCCGCCCCGGGCGGCTGACACCCACACTACGCCACTGAGATCATTGCTGTTATGAACTGATAGATGAATTTTGGGCTTTCAAAGTTGTAACTTTTTTTAAAAAAATTAGAAATCCAAGCAATAAATAACAGTTTATTCTTTACTTTTACATCATTTACTGTATCCGTTACAGTCAATGATGTGAGTAAAGGAGATATTAAACGAAATAGATGCCAACACACACATAAACAAAGAAACAAACACATACACGCGCGTGCGGAATTTTTTCCGGTTTTTCTTTTACTTTTTCGGGTTTAGTGGGTCTCAGAGATTTACAAAAACCCAGAATACCGGAAAGTAAAAAGGAGGGATGTATTATATAATAGAGTATTATTGATAATGATAATGACCCTGTAAAATGAATATTACTATCTTTTGTCACGTTAAACGCTAAAATGTATAAAGCAGGGGTGTCCAACCTTTTAGTTTCTTTGGGCCGCATTGGAAGAAGTCAAGGAGTTTTGGGCCACAAGTATATATAATATATACTTGTGGCCCAATATACAAGTATACTAAAGGATTAACACATCTAGATTATAATAATAAGTACTAAATCTTTATCACGAAAAAGGATATTTTAAAAAATTACTTCTACAGACACTTTCAATTTTATTTAGAAATAGACAAATTCATTTACTATAAAAGAGACAAACGAAAATTTATTTGAAAAACACAAATATTTGTTTTATTTGGGTCTCTAATTAATAAAAAGCGACGAAACACCATTTTAAAGTGCATTTT